TGTTGTGCTTGTGTGCATGTGTGTATGTTGCATTTTTAATGGACACAGCTTGGTTTTGCAAATAAACACAGACAAAGAACATCAGCTTAAAGCACCACTCATTCTCTTCCTTATCATAGTCTTTATTTCCTGCTTCCTGATCTTCAACACTCTTATCGCTTCTCGATTCCTAAGCAGCTGGTTGTTTTCTCTTCTTCTTCTTCTTTTTTTTTTAACCTTTCCTCTATCTCTGCCTTCATAGCTCAGCCACTTTCCCAGCTAGAGGAAGATTCAGCTGTAATATTGTCAGTAGATGCGATACAGACAGACAGCAAGAGTTATAGGTCACCCTGACTTTTAAAAGGAAAGCCACAACTGCCAGCTCTATTGAGGCAGATCAATAAAGGCCATTCACTATGCCCAGCCAGGTACAACCAACAGCTGGTGGGAGCTGTTGTCCATCTCTCCATCTAAAGCTCTGCTGAGATTTCTGCCTAGGCTGCTTCTTTATATCTGCTCTTCTTAAAATCTTCTTAAAAATTTGAATTATCCAGATGCCACTTTGGCCTTGACATTTAGCTCCTTTTGTATAATTTTTAATCTTATGAGACAATTTTTTGACAATTGTATTTACTTTATTTAGGCTGGTTTATTATAGGTTCTGTTTAGATCTGCGATCCATCTCAAATCACTGTGGGCCTTCAGCTTGACCACAGATTTACCTCCAATTTTATCATCTACTGTTTGGAGATAATAATGGTTGAATGTGAAATCTTACCTTCACATTTGAAAGACTTTTGAAATATGTCTTGTAAAGTATAATAGTCAACCCAATCCACCATGTTTTTCTTCCCTCACTTTGAAATTAGTATTTACCAACAAATATATCAAAAACTATTAAATATAAACAGCTGAAGTTTTCACTATCTTACCATAAAATAACGGATCAGGATAATTTTTTTTGGGATGGATATATAAAAGATATCCAAGTATTGGCTAATTAAGATATAAAGACAAAATTCGAAATTTAAGCCAAATTAGCGGTGGTTGAGCAGAAAATGTTCTGAAAATATGATGATTTGAGAATAAGCCAAAGATGAATGAAAGGACCTTTTCAAAAAAGTTGGTTTACTCTCTGACCTACATAATCTCAGTAAACTTGAAACTCAATTTTCGTTTACAGATTTGAGGCAGTGTGGGTAACTCGCTAAAGCTAACCCAGTTTCTCTGTGAGACCTGAGGTGACAGGAAGCTGTTGTTCTTGCAGTGCAGAGACTGTACACATTATGCAGCACATTGTGCATACAACAATAGACACCACAAAGAAGCATGCGTAATCTACTGTTCAAACAGTACAATGTGGCAGGCTGCAGCACCAGCATTAGGTCCTGGATCATGTCGTTTTAGTGGCTAACAAGCTTTGTTGTTTGGACTACGGGGACATGGGCCTCCTCAGACTGATGTAGCTTCTCGAGGCAATGGAAAAATTTACTGCCCACATACATTTATTCGACCAGTTACATGCCCATGATTACTGCTTAGCTTTCTCTATATATTATATTGAATCATGAAGGCCCATTAAGGATAGCGGGCACTACTGTAGGGTGGGACAGGGCGTGATTCTGCAGCAGCACGCATAGAAACATTCATAACATACCCGACCTGGGCTTAGCGATGCTAGCAAAATTAGCTAATAGGATAGCATTTTCTCTGGATGCGAGACAAATACATCTCTGGTTTATAGCACCGCGCTTTTCCCCTCCTGACTTTAGTTATTTTTAAGCAACGTGGGTAGAGACAGAGCTTTAAAAAAGAAACAACAAAAAAAAACACATCTATATTTAAAGCATCAATGTTAGAGATTGGCAGCTAGCCAGCTAGTCGACGCTAACAGCTGAGGGCTACCGCCGTGACGTCACAGCACTAAAAGCTGCTGATGCTGCCCGGCTCGAGCCGCCCGGCTAACCGCTTAGCTCAGAAGCCACTTAGCGGTTTAGCTCCACCTGCTCATCGGTACTCACGCTTTGTCCACCAGCTCTCTGACTTTCCACATGTTCAGCATCTCCGCGCACAGCTGCGGGCTTCGCCGCCTCGATACTACGTCGCCCCCGTGTCTCTACACCCCCCCGCCGCGAGCCAGAGGTGGGTGTCCGGTTACCGACGACACGCTTCCCCCCCAGTCACTCCTCGATCAGCTCCGGTTGTAAGCGACCGCTGCAGTTATAACGGACCGGCCCCAGTTGCTACGGAAACGTCGTTCTCTGTCGACGTCACCGGCGCGTCGGGATCCACGCATCGCTTGCGGATTGAATCACGTGCTTTTTATGTCAAACGAGAACGGAAGACTCGTTTTATTTGTTTGCTTTTGTTTTTCTGCATATAGTAAACAGACAGTGCCTTGCTATAGGACACTTCAGCCTGGGGATGTTTGGCCTGTGCGGGATAATTCGGGTTTAGCTGATGGTATAAATAATGTATTTCTCATTTATTCGTATTTTCATATGTTAAACGGCATTTTTATATAAGTAAAAACGAGTCAAGTATTTTTTTTATTAGTAAGTAATTTATTCAAAATTGTGTATTCCTTTTTGATGAAAAAACACAAAAATATTCAGTTATTTAATGTCTTATGAATTATATCTTTATAAGTAAGAGAACTATATGTATAATAACACATATATTATATACTATCTATAACTATATAGATGTAAAGTTTTACCACTTTGTATTTCATATATACTGTTAAACAAAATAAGAAAATAGATGACTATACTGTTATTGTGGTCACTTTAATATAAATTCAGTTTTTACTTTTCTGAATTTTACATATTTTTAGTTTACCTTGTTATAGAATAGAATAGAATAGAATAGAATAGAATAGAATGCTATTATTTGTCATTGTACCTGTGTTCAGTGAAATTTGGAGTATCTCTGTGAGCAGTGCATACAGTTAAAATGAAAATAAATAAATAACTAAAATATAAAAATGAGAAAAAAATGCATGCACAATACACACCAGAATTACAAGAACTATACACATATCCATTTCACAGTCTTTGGTCGTATTAGAAAGTGTATGATTATCTAACATTTTTTTTTTAATTTATGCTATTTTTTTCTTTGTAGTGTTAATTTTTTTTTATCTTATAAAGGTATCTGTTTTGTCGTATTGTGAATATTAATTTATTCAATTAAAAAAAAACACCTTTTCTCTTTTATACTTTTTGTTTTATGTTTGTTGTTTTTAACTTCATTCTAAAAGCTGTAATAACAATTTTCCCTGTGTTGGGATGAATAAAGCGTGTACCTGGGTGCTTGTGTAGAACAACATAAATTCAAATAAGCATAATTAGAAATAGACAAAAGTGATGTTTTCCACATCCCATATATCAGGTAATACACTAAAGAGCATGAACAGAATCTACATGGAGAAAAAGAAACACTTTAAACTGGGAGCACTGGACCAAAATCACAATATCCTTTAAATCTGTAAACAGCTCCAGTGAGTTACAAAATACAAGTCTGAGTGGAAAGGACTACAGAAGACACACTATAACTACAAGTAAAACTACACGTCCAACAACACTGTGTTTAACTGACACAGAGAATACCACCACCAGGAAAGACAAGGATAGGCTCTTCCCGTCATCACTGCAAATTATATCATTTTATAAACAAATATAAAAATGTAATAGTTAATTAAATTAGCCTGATTCAAATAACAATATAAGCATTTCTGTACAGTTAAGGTTTGTTTTATCTATAGTCTGAAGACCCGAAGATGACGTTTTAACGGTACTTTCATCCATTAGAAAATGCTCCCTCCAGTGGTTAAAGTGTAGTACTGCATCAAAGTGATCTTATAGACCTAAGTTCGACTTTTGAGTGAGAGCTGTTGGCTTGAATTATTCCATAACTAATAATGTCAGCTCTAAATTAGTTTAAAAATGATGTAAATATTATTTAATTAAAGTACACAGCATCCTGTATGATTTTTTTAATATTTACAGGAGAAAAATAATGTTTAAATCTGTCAGCTGATCTCCCGCCCGCAGATCTTCTGTCATTTCTTCATTCTTCCGTCCATAATGATGCCCACCCTCAACCCTCACCCTTCATCACTTCCTAGCGCCACTTCTTTTCCACAGCAGCCCTGCTCCACATCCTGCTGCAGAGCATCACAGAAGCTTGTAACCCAGCATCCAGGTCTTAGGGTTAGCCCAGCTTGTCTCCATACTTTGCTCCAGAATAATTTCTGCATGCTTAGCCTTTAGTTCCAGTTCCTTCGGGAGTAACCTTTCTTCTGCTGCCAGTCACCTGCCTGCCCTCATCTTCTCCCCTGTTCACCAGTTTATTCCACCGCCTGGCTGCCTTCTGCGCAGCCTCTTCAAACCTCCCTGCAGATAACAGCCCGCTGTGCTCTGTTTCCCTGCCCTCTGGCCCTATTGGGCCATTCTCTCAAGCTCATCGTTTCCCATTATTTAATTATTTATTTTAATTTTAAACCAGTTTTTGCATTTTCCTTGGATTCTCCTCCAAGAGTTCTCCCACTGACAGGCTTCACTTGAATTTTTTGGACCCGAGTGTGTTCCTGGCTCAGCATCTGAGTGAGCCAAAGCTTATATTATTGATAAGCTGGCAGAGATATTTAGGTCCCCAATCTGGTTCTTAACAAAGTATTAGCCTCTAACAGAACAAAATAAAGACATCTCTTCTTTTGATTGATTCGTTGCCTTTCATAGAAGTGCTCTTGACTTTTTAATCTACCAAAAAAAAAAAAGAAGAGGAAAACGGGCCCATCTTAGTATTTCCTTGTTTAGTTTAAGTTCTTCTTTGACAGTATTGAGTGTTTTCATTTGAAGAAATAATAAACTGGCAGCAACTCATACAACTCATATCCATAATGTATGAGAAAAAGACAAATCTCCCCCCCAACTCCCCCATTCTGCCCACTCCCCTTGAGTATTTAAGCTTTTGCAGACATCTTGTAGATGTATTTCCTACTAATGCCTCCAATGAATTCAGTTTCACTACTTCTCTAAGAGGATACCTCCATACGCCTTTGCTTTGTCTTTCTACTCATTGCCATGGTGACCCACCTGCAGCACAACAACCTCAGCACAGAGCACATCCCCGGTGCCCTGAGCCAAGCAGGTCACACCGCGGCGGCCGTCTTTCTTGGGTTCGTCCTGGTTCTGGGGTTTTTCGGCAACTTTCTGGTGCTTCTGGTGTTCTCACGTTTTTCTGGGCTGAGGACTCCGGCCAACCTGCTTCTCATCAACATCAGCATCAGTGACATGCTCGTTTGCATCTTTGGCACATCCCTCAGTTTTTCCGCCAGCGTACGTGGCAGGTGGCTGACAGGTTCCTACGGGTGCAAGTGGTATGGCTTCTCCAATGCTCTCTTCGGTGAGTGAGGTTAATGAAGCCCAGTTTTACTCTGGGAAAGGAGAGCGTAGCATAAAAGGCAGTTTTTGAACACTATTGTAGTTTCTATTTTTTATTCTTCACTAGTCCATTAAAAAACTAACGAAGATCCAAATAAGAAAAAAACCCACAACAAAATGTTTTTATAAAATTATTTTATCTTGAAATGTTTCTGCTACTCTGGTTATGAAAAATAAGAAGCATCAGCATCCTGTTTGATCACTGCTGCTCTTTCACCTGACGTCTCTCTATGGCAGGGATCGTGTCTCTAGTGTCTCTGGCTCTCCTGTCCTTTGAACGCTACTCTGTGCTGCTCTGCAAGCAGCAGTCGGACTCCTGTCAGTACCGCAGGGCCTGGCTCGCCGTCGCAGCCTCCTGGCTCTATTCGCTGGTGTGGACAGTGCCGCCACTGCTGGGCTGGAGCAGGTCAGCCAACCTGAAATATTCCAGACCTCAGAGAAAAGTCTGTGATTTACAAAATAATGAACCACTACAGCTGGCAGAAATAGAGGCAGAGTGATAATCAGAAGGTTGGTGGTTCAATTTCTGGCTGCTCTAGTCTGTGTGCCAATGTATCCTTCAAGATACTGAACCCTGTTTCCCGATGTCATCAGAGTGAATATTAGATTAAAGGGCTTTGAGTGCTCAAGTAGAGCTGAAAAACACTAAATAAGAACCAGTCTGTTCACTGCTTTAACAATGAGATCAAAGGCTGAGAAATGTTAGGTCATTAGAGAGCTCTGGCTCATTGTAGTTCACTGTTTAAATGCCTAAAGATGATTAAAGACACAAGCTCTCTCATGACTTGAGCACACTTTTTTGTTGCAGCTGTGTGTCTCTAATATATGTTTCTCTCTGGTTAAGCAAGTGACGTGTATAACTGAGAATATTTGCATTGAATTGAACATTTGGGTAACAGGAAGCTGATTTTTCATCTTTCTTTTTTAAATGTTTTAAAAATTTATTTTTAGGTTTTTTATAATAAAGGTCAGCTGTGGTCTGGCATGGATATAAACTGCAACTTAAGTGCTCGGTCCAGGCAGCTACCTCAGTAGCCACTAATTCTGAGTTTTGCTTTCAATCCATATCCGTGTGATTTTATTTCACACAAAAGCAGCTCCATGTTTTCATTCTTTGACTGAGTGGATTTATGTATGCCATGTTGGACTTTAGTGCAATGCCTTCACTTCCCTTTAAGCCAGTTTATTTCTGATTGACTGTCATTTATTAAAAACAGGTTTAAACACTGAGCTGGTGGGACTTTACGGTCAGGGCTGTGTGCCTGAGATGACAACATTAAGGATATCGGCTCGTTTTGGCTCACAGAGAGTATTTGCACATATGCTGACCTCATTATTTGGAAACTTGGCCGTGTTTTATATGCATCCAACACTCTAACAGTACAGATATGTCAGGAAAGCCAAAAAAGGACATCTTTAAAAAAATGAAAACATTAAATCAACCTCATTAAAACTGGAATTTTTCTTGTTTTTCACAACAGAAGTATTTAAAATGTGTACATATTTTAAAAAACAAGATATTTTCCTGCTCTGTGCAACCCTTTTGTCTATTTGAGAGCTGCTTGTTTCTGTTTTGTGTGATGAAGGAAGACAGTAACTTACTGTTCATCCTGTGTTGCGGTGCAGCTATGGGCTGGAGGGTCCTGGCACCACCTGCTCGGTCCAGTGGCACCAGCGCACAGCCACGGCTCGCTCTTATGTCAGCTGTCTGTTCGTCTTTTGCCTCCTCCTGCCGCTGGTGCTCATGTTCTTCTGCTATGGGAAGATCCTCCTCGCTGTACGAGCAGTGGCGAGGCAGGTAAGCTCGTAGCTTCACCTTTGACCTCTGCGTAATGTTTGAAATCTGGCTCTCACCTCTGTGCATCTGCCGGTGTGTTTAAAAGAAGTGTGGGTGTCTGCAGGTCTCAGGGATTAACTCAACCTACCCTGACTGGAGAGAAGGCCGTGTCCTTCTGATGGTGGTCACCATGGTGACAGGCTACCTATTGTGCTGGATGCCATACGGAGTTGTGGCGATGCTGGCTTCATTTGGAAGGCTGGGCTTAGTGCCGCCTGCCGCCAGTTTAATCCCCTCACTGTTGGCAAAAACCAGCACCGTCATCAACCCCTTTATTTACGTGGTGCTGAACAGCCAGGTAAGAAAACAGGAAAAACTCCTCCAGATTAAAATGACACCAACTTTCATCAGCAGCAACTCCGATACCTGACTATTTGAAATCATTTTCATTAAAAACAAAAATAAAAATATTCATTGGAAAACATTTTAAAATGCGAACACCTCCAATCATAAAGTGATGGACATGGTCAGCAGCAATATTCAGGGAGGCTGTATCATTTAAACAGTGCCCAGTTGATACTAAGGGGCCCAAAGCGTGCTGAGAAAATATCCCCCACATCATTACACCAACACTGACCGGCCTGAAATGTTGATACAAGGCAGGCTGGATTCATGCTTTCATGTTTACATCAAATTTCCTATTTCCAGTTTTCTGTTCTTCAATTTTAGTGAGTGCATGTGAACTGTTGCTTCGGTTTCCTGTTCTTAGATGACAGTAGTGACACTCAGTAGCTCATCTGCTTCAAGGTTTGACGAGATGCACTTCTACATTCAATTGATGAAACGTTTCAAATTGCTGCACCTTTAGACTGCTTCCAATCTTTCTTCTCTGACCTCTGACATCAACAAGGCATTTTCACCCAGAGGAGTGAAGCTCAGGGACCTCCTGTTTTTGGCCCATTCACTGTAAACCGTGCAGATGGTTGGGCAGGAAAATCCCAGCAGATCAGCAGTTTCTGAAATACTCAGACTAGCCTATCTGGCTAGTCACTTTTTTTCTTCACTCTGATCCTCGGTTTGAACTTCACCAAGTTGTCTCGATCATGTCTACATGCCTGAATGCATTGTTCTGCCTTCAAGGTTAGTATACAAACTAAAAGCAGGTGTGAAAACATTTAAGTTAACTGAAAATAAAATGAAAACTAACTGAAACTTGCAACTAAAATAAAAATGTGGAACCCCTGAGAAGATGTCCTCCAGGTGATAATAATTAGAAGTACCGAAACTAACAGTGAAACTAGTAAAAATTTATATAAAATTGAATTAAGCACAACAAATCCACAGTAGTTGAACTAAAATAAAACCCTCATACAATAAAGCCCCCATACTGGAAAAATAATTAGACAAAATTCCTGTTCCCATTTGGACTTATTGTTCAAATGTTTTCTGAAAGTCTAAAATCCCCCTCATAGCGTGTGTAAGAGATGGTCTGAAGTTCTTTTTTCCCCCTAAAGATTATCATGTGGTTAATATCAGGCATGCATGGATTTTCCTTCTACCTCTCTTTCCCTCTCAGTTCTCCAGGTGTCTCCTGCACATGATCGGGTGCAGCTCACAAGCTCCGCCCACCCCAGAAAACCTCTCACAGCCCAGCAGCAGGGAGATGTGGCATCACGCTCCCAGCATGCCAACACGGGAACAAAATACAGTAACGCCCCAGTTCACATCCAGAGGGCAGCAGGTCCAGCGTGGTGCTAGTGGCTCAGTGTGAAGCACAGAAGATAACGACTGTCCTGCTTTATAAACATGTTCTGTATTTATAATTAATGAGTCAGTTCTCCGTCGTTCCTTTAAATGGTGCTATGTCAATTTGGCGCCACCGGGTGGCGCTATGGAGAACATTAAACTAGTAAACAAATAGGTGGACCACAGCAAGAGGTGACATTTATTTTCTTTTTAATAATGCTCAACAATTTACCACAATTAGAAATTGTTCCAGTTCTGAAATTCCTGAATGGGCAACAGCAAAATAATTTATTAAGAAAATAAACATACGTCTTCAAAAAATATACAGTCATTATGCTTCACGAACACCGAGCTCCCAGCGAGTGAGGGATTGGTCTGAAGACAGATTCACATTGTGATGGTGAGGTCATAACAGCTGACATGATGGTCGAGCTGAAACACAGATTCGACCTGGAGGGGTGGAACGATGAGTGGCGAAGAAGCAGAACTTCCCTGAGCAGGTAGTCCACTCCAGACCTGCATCTTAAACACTCCGCCAGTGTACAGACACGGACACCGCACACGAGTCTTACGAACGACTCAGAAACACACATGGAACACTTAAATCTTTCCCGCCAGGTGTAGCTCCTCCAGAACTTGAAATCTGTCGTTGCGGCGCATCCATATCGCTGAACATCACAGCCATGCTTAGCTGGGGTGAGGAACATCTGCTGATTTTTCTTTCTATGGAAAGAAAAGACAGAGTCATTCACAGGTCACAGAATAACAGGAGAAACTATCGAGGCTGATTTATGGTTGCAAATTGATTCACTCTGGCAGCTACGTGAAGTTCTCTGCACCGCTGGATGTCACTTGGTGAAACATAATATCTGATTAGAGTGCTGTATGTTAACATGCAGGTGCAGCAGTGGATGTGCACCAACATCTGGGCTGCAGCAGCTGTCGAGAAACAAGAACTGCGGCTCCTTCAGACTGTTTATCATGGCACTGAAGATTAAGGTCAAAGACCTGTTAAGGAAGTAGAGGACTGTTTGTTACACACTTCCTGCTCGCTGGCTCATCAGTGTGCATAACAAGGAATGAATTATTGCCAGCTTTTGTAATGTAATTAGCTGCTATAGTATCATATGGCTGCAATCCGACTCTGAACTGAGGAGGTTGAAGCAACATTTGTGTTCTTGGATTTTGCTACGCCAAGTACTGTTGACTGGTTTCACTTACCCTAATGTGGGCAATCAGGATAAGCGGTTATCAGAGACATGAACAAGTCTACTTGATTCTGATGGATTACAACTACAAGAGTGTTTTTTACTCTCTCAGCTGTAGACTCAGTGGTGTTTAAAGCTGCGTACACACACAAACCACAAGCAGCTACGGGTGAAATAACCACAGGTGACAGGAAGTGAGCAGGACAAGATAAACTTTTCTCAACTTCTACCTGAGCGACTGAAGCGGCTACAAGTGAGAGTGAAGAATACAGCTGATTGACATTTGACTTGTCACTGATTTCATAGCCGTTGGTCTCTAATCTTGAGCCTAACCTGCTACGGAACAGGTTTTTAGAAAATGTTAACATGTGAACCTTCCTTGTAATACTGAAAACCCAAGGTTAAGTCTGAAGTTAGGTTGATAAGGCCAAATCCTACTTTGCAGTACAGATCTCTGGGCTGTGGGGCATTTGTGAAACAGCCAAACAGAGCACGCCTACATGCAACACCACATGTAAAATTAGGCAAGCTACCACACAGCAAGGTGTAAAAAGACTATATAATGAAAAAGGATACATCTCTCCTGATCATGGGAAATACAATCATTCACTTTAGTGAAAACAAGCAGGAAGAAGCTGATGTTTTCCTGTTAACAGAAACATATACAAGCCTACTGCAGGACTCCCTTGAATCCTTCTACTCAAGGGCAAATCTTTGTTTTTTTTTAAGGTTTCTCTTGAGAGGAAAAGCTGGCTCGTTAGTTTAGTTTCACCCATTCCTGAATTTAAAAAAGCAGAGCCAACTTTTCTAATTTAGGTAGTTATTGTTCATCTGCATGTCCTTTTGGTGGTACAATAAAATCTCCTTCCACTGTTTCATATGGTAAATTCATCATGTTAGGGTTTGGATGTCTGAGTGGCAAAAACACTTTTAATGCTTTTAAACTCACGTGTGAGTAGTTGAACTCAGGTGCCAGGGGCTCCGTTTTTGTGTAGTCGGGAGGGTTGGCATGGGGGTCGTAGCCCAGGCGAGCCAGCATGGGAGCGATTTCAGCCATGTCGTTGACCACGTCAGGGGGAATTTGCCCCACCCACTTGGACAGTGCCTCCGTATTCACTGGCTTCATCACCTGGTCTGTCGAACGCTCCACCCTGCAGAGAGCCAAACACCCACGTCATGTATGCGAGTGCGCAAGTTTTATACAAAGAGAAATTAGTTCTGCTCATTCATTTGATCTCTTTACAACCAAGGCGTGCCCCTTCACAGCAGCCTCAATGGGAAATAATAATTCATAAGTTACTGGCCACCAAAGAAAGATAAATAAAAGGGCTAAATACAAAAATAAAATATTAAAGAATAAAATAGATGCATTTTTTCTGTGTGCATTTGTGTCATAATCATGATTGGCAAGAATAAAACAGTTTAGTTCTTTAGCGTATTATTAATTTGCTTTTAGTTTGTGTATCGACAGAAAATAATAAAGAGCGTCACAAAGAATTGCAGATGAGAACAGAGAGTAACTCGGAGGAAACTAGTCATTTTAAAATCTTCCATATAACTCCCTCTGATTTAATTAATGTGTGCACCCTGTTCCACATTTCCTACTTTAAGCATTTGGGTGACTAACACTGCGCCGGCCGTTGCATAACTTCTCAAAGTGAGGGTGCTAATTCTCTCAGAATGTGGCCTAATTCCTTCAAATGCGCGCCAAGTTTGAGTTTAGCAGCCAAACTCCCACCAAATCCCCCGAGCTTCTGGCCTGCAGAGAAATGCTCTACTTGAGGCACAACAAACAAGTGGAGCAACACAAATTAAAAAGTCTTTCTGTGGGAGTCCTGTAAGCTTTACTTAACCCTGAAAGGTTTGGCTGATTTAAAATGAAGATTTTCGGCATCCTGCACGACGTGATTAGTATTTTTTTTTTTTCTCATGGTGGGTTTGCCTGTTTTGAGTTGCGTTTTTAGACTTGTGCTTACTGCTTACAGTCCTGATTTGCATGAGAACAAAACATCTGAGGTAAAACCCACAGGGTCAATTGCATTTGGTGAAATTCCCTTAAGACTAAACCTGAAACTGTTAGGGGAAAAATTCTGCAGCAGTTTTTTTTATAATAATAAAAATGTATTAATCAATAATGAAAACAAACACAAAAACATACACTTGAACTTAAAGTGATTTTTTTGCTAAATGTCACATTACATGACAAAACACATGAGTTTCAACTTTAGAAGACACGGAGGTCTCACAGTCATGTGACTTCCTGTGGTTTAAGACTTGTTTTGAGTGAACACCTCACACATATCATTCTTCACACATATTTTCACACCGTTGTACACCCTGCTATATCTGACACTGTCATCTTAAGAAACAGAAAATCTGTTGGAATACAAAACATAAAAAAACCTGCAGGACTGAGGAGGATCCCAGTGAATTAGCTCCGCACTTTAAACCCTCGGTGCAGACAGAATGAGTAAAAATCTAATTTTTTTCCAGGTGCAACAGTTTCACTTTATTTCTCACTAATGCAGATGGAGTACTATCATATCGAAATGGATGAACATGAAGAAAAATGCGGCCATATAAAATAACTTATTCATTACATTATGGAAGACTTTATTTTAATTGCACTGTTGTTAATGAGGACAGACATAAGTGTTGGCACCACTGCAGAGTAAACAGTCCAACTGGTGCCTTTCTTAATCTTGGACCATCATTTAACCTTCAAGCTGTGCTGCTTATTTACCATAAGCACATCTGAGAAGGCCTTATCATTCAATAAAGCATGTTGCAGTGTAAGAACATTTACTTTTACTAATGATTTGCTCTGTATTTTATTACAATGAAACTTTTATATGTTCATATACAGTTACTGAATAAATATCAAAGATGAGTAAGCAAAAATGTGGTCAGCACATGGAGTGTGTGAGCGAGACGTGTGAGAAGTGGGAATCGTAGCTGGCTTTCAGAAACCTGAAAAAAACAACACTTTCTATCGTGAAATATAGCTGCCCCTCAAAGCCAGCGGGGCGTGAATTCACAGGATGAGTAAACCGTTTAAATTCAGCATCATGCATGTGCACAGCGTATATGGCCTAACAATAATAACAGGAACACAGCCTATTAACTGCAAGCTAACTGCATATTTAGCAAATCTGTTTCTTTCATGCAAACCAATTAAAAAACTTCCCTAGACCTCGTCTAGATTGGATATGGCCGGATGTGTGTTGACCATTCACTTCATGCGCATTGGAGAATTTTTACCAGCCTCCAGCAGAGACTGCATGAAAATTTGTGGGATTACTCCTGACTCAAATTTGACGGTCTGATTTTCACTTTTGAAACAACTGAAACACTTTTGGTTTCTCAAGTTGTGAAACATCAAATTTTGCAAAACTAGTAAAATGGGGAAACCTCAGTTAGTTCAGTTTTGAATAAGTCGAGTGAATTAGGGCACTTTTAAAAACAACAAGGGTTGAACAAAATGCTGTGAACCAAAGTGGTATAAAATGCAACAGGAAAATACAGAAAAACAGAAGGCAAACAAGAAGCAAAACAAAAGAAAGGTGAAAACTCAGTCACATTTAAACGCAGCTGCAAATGGCTGAATAAACTGAGTATTCAGCATACTCCTCTCACAAGGGACAACGTCTCTCTTTGTCTGTCTGGGTGCTGCAGCTCTCTGCTCTGAACAGAGTAGAGGGGGCAAGACAATGCTCTGTCCAAAGGCACTAAATCCAGCAAAGAACGTGACAACTTCTCAACAACAGTATGAACTTACAGTGCGTCACATCACACACAGTTTCATCCATTTTCTTCGGCTTAAATTAAGGATTTTATGTGTAGGCTAGGGGGCTGGTGTTTATCCTACCTACCATAAGGTGAGAATGGGCAAGCAGTCTGTCACAAAACCATTCACACTCATGTTCACACCTATGTGCAATTTTAGAATTACCAGTCAAGCTAACCCCACTGACTGCATATCCTTGGACTGTGAGGAAGCCTTGGAGACACCCCTGCAGACACGGGGATAACATTTGAACATAGGGCCTTCTTGCTGCAAGGCAAAAATGCTAACCACTGCACAATCGAGTTCTCAGTCTAAATTTTCATCTAAAACGCCTCCTACACCCCTTCTGGATTTCCAACTTGAAAAGCTGGAAGAAAGCTAGCAGTAAACACAACCGGTAATAAAACTTGAATCTGCACTGCCTATGTTGTGCGTTTTTGATCACTGATCAGGCTCTGTTCATGTACGTGTTTGCAGCGGTATTTTTAAGTGTGAAAACAAGTATTGTGCTCTCTTGCTAGTGATGCATGAATCGTTCAACCTCACTAAGAAGCAAAGCAAATCCCGTTTTCACTCACTGTCCTGCCTTTACTACTGGAATGTGCTCAGATGACATCTCAGTTCAGAGCTACCTGGAAGGCGGCAATTAAGTGATGACCTCTGCTGTGAGAGAGAGAGATGTCAGGAGATAAGCCTTCCAGCTAGGGTGTGTGTTTAACATTAGCGTACAGCCCAACAGAAGATACCCTCTTACATGCTACTTGATGCAACCAGACTACAAGGCTGATCCAGCAGATCATTACATAACTAGCCCTATCTCCCTGTGCTCTTTTCCCCCCCTCATTTAAAAGTGTAAACAACAAACAGAAACTTCTGTTAAACTATTTTTTACACTTAACAGAAATAAAATCATTTCTAAACAGAACTGAAGGTGAAAATGCAAAGTATGCATGTGCATTAAAACCATGTCATGGTTGAAATGTAATGTAATCTAAACTTCTTCAGTGCATGCACACATTGCATGCAAATACATTAGGTCTGCTGCTACTTTTAAAGGTTAAAAATAAACCACTGTGGGTATCTTATCATGTGGAGAGTTTCAGTGTAGTGTGCTGTTTATTATGCTGAGGTTTTGAGATACCCGCTTCTAAAACGTTTGCCACAACAGAAGCTTTCATTTGAAAAGACACTTGAATCAAAGGCAGATATATAAAGGACGGCCCATCTGAAAACTTTATAACATTAAACAAACAAGTATCACTAAAGCTAGCACATATTTCATATACTCACTTTGATAGAGACACACCACCAGCCTTTCCAATCAGCTCTTCGTGGTGCAGTACCGATGGGTCCCACTGCAAATCCAGAAAGTGCAGCAACTTTCTCATTTCCTCCTCTGGGTGGAGGACAAGCTGCTCATAACGGATGGGCTGACATCTAGCGTATCCGACCGCCTGGCACTGGCTGAACATGGTCTCCACCGCACTGCTCCACTTTGTTAGGCAGTCCCTGTAGCTGGTCAGGTCAAAACCGGAGATGGTCACCTATGAAATGAGGCACAGTGTGAAGGTCACCACAGGAATCCCGACAGGGAAAACTCAGCGAGATGGCATGGGTTTATTTGCATCTCTTGTGGCTGCTCGAACAGCCAGCCTGAGAGGACGCTGTAGCATGAAGGAGAAAACAGACAAACGCACCTTGCGTGATATCATTGAGTGCACAGTTGCCCGTCCATCTCGTAGCATGAGCACAAACTTTGCTTTCGGGAAGATGTGAGCCAAATAAGACAGAGACTTCAGTGCAAACGGGTCCTTGTTGCAAAGGCGAGGCGCAGGCTCCCCGTGACCAACTATCACCTGGAACACACACACACACCCCGAATAAAGTCAATTATCATCATCTCAATATACAGAAATAATAACTGCATCAATATAAGGACTCACAAATGTCAGCAAACCCCTGCAAGCAGATCACTGAAACTATTGGAATGAATGTCATCAATCAAAAAACTTGAAGTTGGAAAAATTTGAACAACAAACATGTTTGAAATTGACCACAACAAAGAGTGCGGACCCAGGACATTTTATTTGTTTCTATCACCTGGCGCCACATATGAAACTCAGCCACGAGGTAATTAATACGTAATGCACCAGCTCTAACATAAATGCTGGCAACAACGTCAACCACTTCTTTAGATCGCGTCGCAGCTCTACAAAGATTCCCAGCAGAAGTGTAAATCGCGCTTAATGGCAACTCATCACTGTATTATTGTACTAAACAATAAGGTGCTGCCACTTAGACAAAATTTCCACATCAGCGCTTTTATAGGGGAAGAAGTTAAAACTGTAAACATTTATTCCAGGAAGTTTCATCTTATTAAACTGCTGCAACAAAGGTCTGAGCTTTTTTACTGGTGTATCGTTAAAATGAAGGTAAAAACCAACACAACTGAATTAACTTCCCACTTTTTTTTTTTCCATACACCATTTCTGCTCATTGGGAACTTCTTCCTGTCTCCTTCCTGGAGTTTGTATTGTTTATTGTTCATGGGGTCTCTAAGCTCCTCTTTTCTACTTCATCTAACCCTATACCAGCTGTGACAGATGTGTGCTCCTCCCTGAGCCTGGTTCTGCTCAGAACTTATATCTGACTGTTAGAGAGAGAAAGAGAGCGAAAACCTAACTCACAACATAAAGCAGGTTCAGACTGCTGTTGCTGTAAAGTGGTCCTATATAGCTAATTAAAGCAAAAAAAGGAACGTTTTACAATATCCTGCAGGTTAATCTGGGCAAGCTAAAGATTTTCAATGCTGAAGAACTAAAAGATGAACTACAGCTTCAAAAATATGGAAATTTGTCTTTCAATATTGGCATTTCTCTGGGGATTTATTGGGCTATACATGTGAATACAAACATGTGACCCTGTACAAACATGTGACCCTGTCTCTCTCACACACTCCTCACCATTAAAAAACATGAAGATGTGTTTCAGTATCGCAAAAGCAGCCTGAGAAACCCACCTCCAACAGGAACGCTCGCACAGCTGAGTCCAACACGTGGTCAGTGACGCCGGCCTCATCCAGTCGTATTCTCTCCTTCACTGAGCGGCTCCAAGTGGCCCTCATGGTCAAGAGGCGGGGGATCACTCGGGTCTCTTCTCCACACCGCACGGCATTGTGGGCGTCCAGCATGACGCGCATCAGTGTCGTGCCGCTCCTGGGGAAGCCCCCAATGAAGATAATGGGTGTGTCTTCTGGGAAGTGATCAGTCAGGGATAAGCTCTGATTGCCTGAGCCCAGAGTGAGCTCCATCCAGCGGCGCCGATGGCTTTTCGGAGGGCAGTCTACCCCGCTCATCCCCAGGTAGAGAAGGGAGACGGAGCAGAGGAGCACGCAGCCCAGCAGCAGGTTCGATCTGGTGCTCCTCATTGTTGGGGAGGTGTGTGTTTGGGAGTTAGGAGGACATAAAATTAATTCAGGGGCAGCTGAGGAGACTGGTGGAGGGACTCACTTCAGTTTAACTTAGCCAGTTTGACAGTCAGCTTTTAGGATGAATGCTGGAAGTGATCCTGAAGAAATCCTGGAGGATGGTGTCTGGGAAGGCTCCTCACTTTTTTGCAGTTCTTTGGACCCGTTATCGGTGAGCAGGATCCAGGTGTGTCGCACTCCACAACCAGCTGTGCGTTTTATCCATGCTTCCTACCTAAGACAAGAGAGGAACATGTCATAAAACTCAGAAAAAGCTGCACAAGAATCAGCTTATGACCAAAGACACTGTGTTTCTCAATGACGGTAAAGCACTTCACTATTAGAGTACTTTCCCAGCCTCATTTTCCAGCTTCTGAGTATTAAAAAGCATGATTATCATGTTACAATTTTCCAATAAATAACTCTCAACATTAGCCCAGAGTGAGTTATCATCTGCTAGCAGTGTGCGAATGGTGGCCGTCGTTTTTGCCAAGAACACTTGCGCGCGTGCGCGCGCGCACACACACACACACACACACACACACACACACACACACACACACACATACAAAGGAGCTGAAATGCATCCAGTTTTTCTCCTCAAAGCATCTATTTTGCATCACTCCTCCGGGGAGCCGCCGACTGCTAAAGCCATATCAAAGTTCACTGCGGCACGCAACGCAGACACACTCTCAGGCAATGTTTCTGAAGCCACTAATTACAGCTCCCTCATGCTTTTATTCTCACTGACAGTTTCTGCCACGCTGAAACGCAAATCAATTTGTTAAAGCTCACATTACTATTGACCAATTCAGACATCCTGCAACTTCCCCATTTATCTTCTGCAATGTGCATATGAGGAGTTTCACAAGTCGGTGTTTAATTCCTCTTACTGGCACTCTAAAACAGCAAAGCATGTATAAAGCACCGAGCCACTACTGACTTAAGTAAATGCTTGAATTAATGCAACTGAAACTGCAGCATCTTGCAAAAGTGTATGTGAAATATTCCTCCATTTCTCAGGGGCATTTTGGCATCTTGCTTGTTCTGTCTGGGTGTGGAGGGATCCCGAACATCTGGATGGCATGTGGGGGAGCAGTACCCTCTGTGGGTTGGATGAAACCGCCTGAAAAAATGTTCTCTCTGGCAAAACTAAAAGTAAAAACAGCTGTAAACGAGGACATTGGGGTTGGGCTATGATGGTTTGGTGCTGTCTTAAACTATCCTAAGTCTAGTAGCACCCGAACGATTTTTACATGCAATTCTAATTTAATTTGATGCAGAGATTAAGCCACTTGGAGCCTGCAGAGAATTAGGGCAAAGTACTGAGTCTTGATGCTTTTTTTCACCCCTTTTTCCTCAACAGATTTAAAAGCCTGGATCAGACATGTTACAGAAAAAGAAGCATATTTTCCAATTTAAACACTCCAGTGTTTTAGTCCTCCCATTGCCAGTTAAACAGACATGTATGGATAGTTTTTGTTTTACATACAGATTCAGTTGAAACAGAGAAGGGAAGGAAATCCTCTCGAATGAGAAACATTAGTTTCTGATTATTTGATGGCACCTGAAGTGCTGAAAATCTACTGGATATTTTATTTTTAGAGGGAGCAAAACACTAGGAACACTTAATTTGTATATTTTTTAATGCTTAGTAAACCACAAACAAAAGTCAGTTCTCCTTTACTGCACTTCAGTGGAAGTAATAACAAATATCTGAAAACTCAGGCAAACCTTTCTGCATGGGTAAGCATGTGTTTAGAAAGAATGGTTAAATTGGTTTCTGCAAACACAACATATCTGAAAACTGTCTTTTCACAAACACACCTAAAATAATAAGAGGAATGAACCGTGATCACAGTCCATCTGCAGAATCTGCAGTTCAGGTGGGTTGCAAGAAAGCAACACCTTTGAAACCTTTGAGCAGAAGACTGTCACGAAACCTCCAAACAAATATATACGCTGACTTCCTGCCAAAGATAAAAATCTTGACAGTTATGTTTTAAAGTTTCAGTTTGCAGTTCTCACCACTGAATATCCATGTTCATTCGTTTTTATGTTTACTTTATTTATACTCTATACCGTAATGATAGGCTTTCCTCAGTGAAGTGAATGCTCATCTCAGGTCTCTATATTTGTTTTATTCCTCATTTATTAACGGTGTTTGAATTTTTAGCCCCGCTCACCTGTTCTTACACACACAATGCTTCTGGTTTACAACAGTGAACACACTCTCACCACACACTTTGTTAGGCACACCTGTTCAACTGCTTGTTAACACAAATATCTAATCATCCAAACACATGGCAATGACTCAGTTGGATGTTGTTCCCAGACAGGCTGATCTGAGTATTTCAGAAACTGCTGATCTACTGGGCTGTTTTTGCACACAGTCATCTCCAGTGTTTACAGTGAAGGGTCCAAAAATAAAAAATAAAAGAGCAAATACCCAATGAGGGGCAGTTCTCTGTGAGAAAACGCCTTGTGGATACCAGAGGTCAGATGAGAGAATAACCAGTATGCAATAGAGCATCTCTGAAAGCAAAACACGTGAACTGGGAAGCAGATGGGTTACAGCAGCAGAAGACCGCACTGGGTGCCACTCCTGTAGACTAAGAACAGTAAACTGAGGCTAAAGTGCACACAGGCTCACGAAAACTGGACAACTGTCACTTGTTTGCTGTGACGGTAGGGTCAGAATCTGTTGTAAGCAATATAAAAGCATGTTCATGAAAGCACCCAGCGTGCCTTGTATTGACAGTTCAGGCTGATGCTGGTGTAATAATGTCGGAGATATTTTGTTACCAACTAACCATCATTTAAGCACCACAGCCTACCTTGAGTATTACTGCTGACCATGCCTATCTCTTTATGACTGCACTGCGCTCTTTGCTTTTGATGGCTATTTCCAACAGAAAGCAACACTTTCTGGTTTCCTGACATGACAATAATTTCACTGTACCCGTATGTGCTCCACAGTCACCAGATCTCAGTGCAGTAGAGCACCTTTGTAAGGGAACAGGAGATTTGCATCATGGATGTGCAGCCAAAAATCATGTCAATAATGACCAAAATCTCTGAGGAATGTTTCATTGAATCTGTGCTATGAAAAATCAAGACAGTTTTAAACCAAACAGGGATCCAACCCTGAAATACTAGAAAGATGTACCCAATAAAGTGTCCAATGAGTGTCTCTCACAGGAAACATGTGGCTCTAAAACTAATGAGCGGATCTATGGGTGCATCCCTTCTGAAACCCAAAATGATTAGCTGACAGAAAAGCAGCTGAAACAACAGTTTTACTGTCATTAAACAAGGAAGAAGTGTACAAAGTCTACTAAATCACTGTATATCCGTCCTATATCTGGAAGACATTTATCCTGCCATATAAAATGCCACGTTAACCCTAGCTTTAGTAAGGAAATAGTCCTTACTGTCACACAAAAACATACCCTTTGCTCCACATTTAGTTTGTAAGGATGTGCCCTCCTACTCTGTGCTGCATTGTTTCCTCTCGGTGTCAACAAATGTGAAATGACGGTCTCAAAGGCTTATGCTGAGTTGCAGCTGCTTCATCCTGAATTGAGGCTCTCTCTCGTTATTTATTTATTTATTTTTGCACAAAAATATGTTGGCCCAGCTGGCTGCTGGTGGGTGTATTTGAAACAGGTCACCGCTGTCACTGCAGTGCGCGTGCTTGTATAAATAGGATTACTGCACGGCAGCAGAGCGCAGGCCCAGCAGCCACAAACATCTGGTCTCCCTGCACCCCGAAGCAGGAAGGCAAAAAATCCGCCAGGTGAGTGAGTCAGTGCCCCGCTGGCGTTCACACACACACCGGGGACACCTACGGCTCTCCATAAACGACAGCCAGACTGTCACGGCGCGTTTTCACCGCCTGCACCTGGTATGGATGGGCTAATTCGGTTCCATTTAGATAGCTATCCTAGCTGGAAATGTCTTAACCGTGGAAAAGAAGAAAAAATGGTGTTCACTCACCAGCCGAAATACGAAGAAGAAACACACACATGGACCTTAAGCCAGAGGCAGACAGCTGCTCTGTCTCCCCCCACCTTCTCAACACACACACACATCGGTGTTTACTCTCATCTATGGGCGAAGGTCACCGCCGTGGTGTCTACACCATTTCCTAACTTCGTGAGAAGTCGAGCTGTATCTAACATTCACACAGAGAGCGAGAGAGAGAGAGAGATAGGGGAGCAGACGATACGAGCGCAGGCTGGCAGAGAAAGCTGGGCGCTGATTGGACGAGCACAGCTCTCAATTCTAAAACGCATCTGCTTGGACGATTCTGATTGGTGGAGGCGTTAAAGGGCAATTTCGTCGACATAAGAGAAGCCGAGCGAAGCAAAGCAGTTGCACCGGAGGCAAGAATTACTTTACCTTATCGATTTGTATGCTCTCAGTAAAAGCCCACCGGGGAAATTTAATCACAGCGCGCGATTTAAAGGAGGTTAAAGCCGCCTCATTTAATTTACCCATCGTTTCATTAGGAGCAGGTTTTTGGCTACCCTTAACATCGCCTTTATGATAGATTGCGGCCTCTGTGGACGACCATGTGTGACCAAATTACAAGTAAAGCTGCCAACATGCAATAAATAAAATATTCAATATCGACTCAGTCCATGGATAAGTCATGAGAGACATGAATAATAAATGAAATAACTAGTGAGGTGATGAAAAAATAAATAAAGGAAAAGAATTATATGCTTTTGCTTTATACGCTGACACTCTCTGGCCACTTCATTAGAAAGCCAGTAAGTGGGCATCAAGTCAAACAATTTAGGCATGTAGATATAGTCAAGATAACCTGCTAGAGTTCAAAGGGAGCCTCAAAAGGAAAGAACCATTTCATTACAGCAATTATGGTGATTATTGTTGGTGCTGGTCTAATGACCTGCTAGGATTTTCCCACACAAGCATCTTTAGGGTTTACAGAGAATGGTCCGAAAAAGAGTAAATATCCAGCGAGCAGCAGTTCTCTGTGCAAAAATGCCTCGTTAATGTCTGAAGAGAATGGCCTGACTGCTTTGAGGACACATAAGAACAAAGGTTTGCAGAAGAGCATCTCTGAAAGCGCAACCAAATCTTGAAGCAGTTGGCCTACAGTAGCAGAAGACCACACTGGGTGCCACTCACTGTCATCTTAGAACAGGAAACTGAGGCTCATTAAAACTAAGCAACAGGAAATTGGAACTACACTTGGTTTCATGAACACAACACTGAGATCACTGCACTCAATTGGCCTCCAGACTCACCAGATCTCAATCCAGTAGAGCACCTTTGGGGTGTGGTGGAGCAGAGTCTCATCATGGATGTGCATCTGAAAAATCTGCAGCAACTGTGTGATGCTGTCATGTCAATGTGGACATGGCATCTCAGAGGGATGCTGTGAAGAATTAAAATCACATTGCCAAGTAAATACTGAGTCTAAAGCACATCCCTGTTTTTGTAAATGCACTGTGACTCATTTTAACACCACATCCTATTTCATATGTAGACTTTTTCCCCTTTTTACTTCTCCCCTATTTAAATCTGAAAAAAAAAATTCCCTCACACAAGCGTAGTCCTCTAATGGAAAACTTTAATTACAATAATATGTCAATCTTTTCCCCCAATGATGCCAAAGATATGTTGCCTACTTCCACTTTTACTGTGTTCTTACCAGTCTTGACTGCAGAACAAAATTAATATAGTACAGTAAAACTGTCGGATTTGGTAGTTCGTTATCGTAAGAATGAAAGTAACAGCGATAACTGTGATTGTCATATAGAAATTAATAAAGTGTTCCTCCTGTTTACATTTACAAGCATGACCGATTTGGCTGGGTTGGGGGGGCTTGGCGCGCTCAGATGTGCTGTCCAAAAAATCAGTGTTCACTTCACTTAGGCGTCCCGCCTCGGCAAGGTACTTGGCAAGCACAGGAAACTGATGTGATATGTCAACAGGAAGCCCAAAAGCAGAAATGTACATGACTCTAACCAGCACATCCTTCCTCTACTACAACAGAAAGTTGAAAAAAAAAAACTGGAGTTGATCCAGGGCCTGTGGTTAAAGAGTTTGTGCTGCAAACCTGTAGTTTATATCCCGTGTGACCTCTGCACGGTTACAGAAACACATCTCTGTGAAACATGTCCTGCAGTACTGACAACTACAGCCCTGCAGCCATACCTGAAAGCAGACATAGTGGCTGCAAGTTTTCTGTGTGATCCAAAATTACAAACAACCGCTGCATATTTCAGCTGTTACATCTCTTTGTAATGCAAAGGGGAAAAAAGTGTCAGCATGTTTTAAAAATCATTGCTTCGCAAACTGAATAAGAGTTGAGTGACAACCTCCTGGCTTATATTGTTCTTTGTTATTACACAGGCCAATCTAATCATACGGTTTGATCTTACATTTATGCTGCACAAGCTTAAGTTTAATCGCACAACTGTCTAACATTGCAGCTTTGGAAATCAGAGTCCAATAATTCCTATTGTGACACACTACCCTGTTTGATTTAATGCAGCTATGTAGTATGAATGCACATAGAGAAACAATCAGTATATCTTCTTCTGCTTATGTAACAGGTCAACTTGATGTGAATTATCAAGCTGTCAGGCAGCATTTGTCCCATCATGCACAGTTCAATTAGTCGTGCAAATAATCACAGTCCATCCAGTTCTGCAGTTATCTCCAGTTCTGGCCCGTCATGGTGTCATGACTGTTCGCCGCCATCATCCATCTCTGTGTCTGCTGGAGCTGCGTTTTCTTGCTCTGGGTCTCCCGGTAGGACATCTGTGACTGTCTGGATAAGCTCCTCAATCTGCTCCTCTGATAGTCGCTCTTCACTCTCTTCTACCAGCTGAACACAGAAAGAAACTTCAGACAGTGCAACACTAAAGCCTCCTGATGTGATTTCATCTTCTGTTTTCAGTTCGTTTTTGCTTTATGTCTTTGTTCTCAAGCTTTTGATCATATCACATGATTTCCATCAGTAGATACAGTTTGCCAGCTTTCATGGAAGTGTCGATGCTTGAATGTCCAACAGGGGCAACTAGTCCCTGAAGTGCTCAGATAAAACTGGGAAGAGATCTGTAAAATATCTACATATTACTGAAAACTGTTGAATTCTACAAGCTGATGAAAACCATGTGATATGAGATTAAAAGCACCAGACTCAACAGCATCACTTTATCAGTGCATTCTTCAGCACATTTAGCGTCGGCAAAGAACAACTCAAACTACATTTTTACACAGTCTGAATGAGCCCAGACTGCTGCAGGGACACTCCAATCTACTAACTTTAATGTGCAAGGTGGATATTTTTTGGTGGTGTTATTTTCATCTGTGATTTACAGCTCCACGGACAGATTCTGAGTTGAAATGACCCACAAATCTGCATGTTTGACATCATTTTTGTTTTTTCTTCAATAATAAAGCCTTAAAAGTGGCCATTAGCAGAGGTTAGGTTAGTAGTCCTATGTAAAAACAACACAAAACAAAACAAAAACAGTGCTTCTGTCCCGTCTGTGGAAGCCAGGCTCATCTGTTCCTACTTAAGTGAGCCATCACACAGTTCATTTGTATTATTCAAACAATTTGAAGGTGCATTTGCTTTGCTTGTTGTTGCCTTCACAACGTAGGTGTCCATGCCGCCTGCCTGCCCAGCAAGATCCTTTTACAGCTCGGACGTATAAAGCAGAATACCAGCACACCTATTCTTTAAGTCACTCTGAGAGTACAGAGTCATTTCTAATTAAATGAGAACAATGTAATAAATAATAATGTAATAAAAACACTGTAGATATGAAGATGCAATTTAATTTAAAAACACTCACAAGCTGGATTTCCACTGCAGTCAGAGGCCGGTGGTTCAGTAGCTGTAGTTTTTCTGCCCTGTTTGGGAGGAAAAACAGTTCTCATCTAAAAAGAGCTGTGCATCTTATGCTGTCTGTAAAGTTCTATTGAAAGCATCAAGGCTGGAAGTTACTGTGATGGCCTGATCTTACTGACTTTGTGAGTTTGTGCGGCACCATGGTGGTGAGAAACTCCTTGACAATCTCAGGGCTCTGTCTGCTGCAGGGCGTCTTCGATAGGTACTTCAGCGTCTGGTGGAAGTACAAACCAAACTGTGGCTGTGCTTTTGAAAACGGGTAAACATGACAGGCACGAGGAACGCAGAGGATGTTTTCTGACCTCATACATGATGGTGTTGAGGTTCTGCTGCCCAGCGCTGTGTTTGTGCTTCCCGCTGTCCTTTCTCTGCTCCTTCAGGTCTGTGAGGAGTTTGAACACCTGAGGAACACACAGGTAAACAAAAGTGCCATCGGCCTGATGAGTTATTCTTTGAATTGACCAAAGAAAATAAAGAAGAAAGTGAGAAAATATGACCTTACCTCATAGTTGCTGAGCATTGCAGCATTAGCATTTTTCCTGAGAATAAAAAAAAAAGTAAGCATTTGTTTTTGAGGGTTATCTCAGTGGAGGCTGTGGTGTTTAAAAGATGTTTATACAAGGTAGAACAGGTCCAGGCTTTCATGTTTTTTTATGCCAAATTGTGACCCTACCATCTAAACATTACAGCAGAAATTGAGACTCATCAGACCAAGGGACATTACTCCAGTCTTCAGGTGTCTAATTTTGGTTATTCTATATGAACAGTAGCATTAGTTTTCTGTTCTCAGTTGACAGAAGTGGCGCCCAGTGTGGTCTTCTGCTGCTGCTGCTGCTGTGACTCGTCTACTTCAAAGTTCAACTCGTGATGCTCTTCTGCATGTCTTGATTTCCTAAATATACTGGGTTGTAAACATCTGATTTACCGATTTTAGATATTTGAATTGATAAAGTGGCCACAGAGTATTTGTGTAGCACATTTGTAAACAATATAAAATATGGGCAATGGGCTACCATAGCAATGGGATTGCAACTATTAATATACTAAGATTATTTGTTCAAACGAGCCAGTTTAGTGCTAAGTGTCAAAATCTCAGCATTATCATTATTATTATTAGTAGTAGTAAATAATGCATCAAACAAAAAGAAAACATCTCCTCGCGTGAGAGAACCTGGTATCTGTTTTCACGTGTAATTTATAAATAAATAAAAATAAAAAACAATTTCGATCCAAGCACAAAAATCTGGATCAGTAAAGTGCTAACAAATGCACTTGTTATTATGTTCTCATTAACGTTCTGCTGCGTTTACTTAATTTATTTGTTTATTGTTTATTTCAGATTAACTGGAAAATGTGACTACAGTCCTCACACGGGTCCCAATAACTGAACCGGAAACTAAAAGACAGCGAGGCAGATTCTGCACTTTTAACCACAGCGTTTAGCCTCAGGTGAAACAAAACGTTATAAAAATATCAGTTAAAATTATGCAGATATAAAAATGAAATCCATTTTAACTCAAAAACGGTCTTACACTTCCATTTCGCCTGGCACGTCGCTCCGTTACAAATGTGTCCGTGTGGGAATGCTAGTCCGCGTTAAACGTTCCGCCGCTAGGTAACCTCGATGGAAGTTGGAGGGCAGAGGCCAACCTGGTAAAGGAAATTAGTACCTGGGGTATCAGGTTACTGTATGAAAAATAAAAAAACTTTCATCTGTATCTTTTTTTCTTTAATTGTTGAAATCTCCCATTCCGTCACTGTTTTGCTTTATGCTGCCCTCTGCTGTTCAGACTATTTATGATTTTATAAATGCTGTTTATTCCTAATGTGAACATGTGAAGCAGCAGTCTTACAAAAACTTATTAACATCCAGATTAAAAACTGTAGAGATATGGCCATCTGTCTCAGCACGATCTTTCTGAAAGTCTAGGAGGAGGGGCTAATGCATATGACAATGTAACTCCAGACACCTTTCTGGACGGACAGAGATTATTCTGCAGGGCATCACTCCTACTCTATGGGGGACCACAAGAGCCACATGCGTCGAAATAAAGAATTCTGTGCTTAAATAATGAATTGTACAAAAAATTATGCATTTGTAAAATCATTGTATTTATCCAAACATCAGTAAATTATTACATTATAATGTACATTATAATGTAATAATTTACTGATGTAAATAAAAACACAATTTTTAAATAAAAATATCCATCAAAATATACTTCAGATCAAAAATGAATTTCACGAAAAAAATTTAATTTTCAAAAAAAGCCTGATTTCCACAAACATTTTCAAATTCCAAATTTTAAAAACAGGTCTTAAAAATCGTTTATAAAAACAATTTAAAAAAGTGAAATATGTAAATGGATTCAACAATCAAAGCTATATTTCCCAGCAGCACAAATTAGCTATGTTTTTGTAAGCTGCTGTGCTCTTCACAAATAAAGCTTGAAGCAGCTCAGGCTATTAGAATCAGGACTGAGGCCTGTTACATTTCTACAGTGTTAGAGCAAAGGCTGCAACCTACAGCCTTTAACTCGTGATTAAAATGCTGACAGTGAACACATCAGTCCAGATGTTAGCACATTACTTTATGATACTGAGAGTTAAAACAACTGAGACAAGGTGATTAAAATAGTAACTGTCAGTTCTCTCGTTCCTTATATGATTACCCTCTGCTAAGACTGGAGATGAAACTACTGATTTGAGCTCATTTAATTTAATATGCAGGTGCACACATTCATTCTCAACTGGACATAAATGATGATCAAGAACAATGTTTAGTTTTATTATTTACATGATGTTTGTGTTTATTAATGCAATTTGAAAGTAAATACTCAAAAGTTGGATGTATGATGGACTCATCAAATCCCAGCTTCTAAACACAGTATGCTGAATCTTAGCATTAAATGCCCAGTATATTCTAATCAGTACAATTTAAGCATTCACAGCACCTACAATATCTACACCTGTGTGGTGGCAAATGTACAGATCTCTCTCTCTCTCTCATATCTATCTATCTATCTATCTATCTATCTATCTATCGTGTCAGTCGCTTAAATTATCGTGACTAAATACTCATGATAAATCGCAAATTAACCATTTTTTTTAAATCTGTTCTAAAGGAACTTTAGGATACTCTTCATGTTTCTAATACCTTCAACAGTATGGGAGTGGACAAACTACTATACTTGCTTTATGCAAATATGTGTTTATTGTTAATCGCAACAATTCAAAACAATGAAAAATACAATGAGAAATCCAGAATACTGTTCAACAAAGCCTCAAAAGGTACTGAATACTCAAAATTATGCCGAAAAGAATCAAATACTCCCACACAATGTAACTGTTTAATTTACCATTAGAGTGGGATCAAAACAAGGAATGCAGTTAGGGTATGAATAAAACAATTTGACTATACTTCTTTTTGCTCTCCAGTTTTTTTTAAGCAGAGGCTGAGCAACCCAAGCTTCTTCCTCCTTTTTTCCTAATAAAACATGAACATGGAAACAGCACATAGGAGAAACATAGAATAAAAAAAAACAACCCTAGAACATACATTACATGGGTTGTCACTATTACTTTGCACTAACCCAATTGCTCAAACAGACATGCATCTTAACATTTTGAGATGACAGGGCAGCTCGCTTGTTCTGAAAAACATGCCCAGAAAGTGAAAATAACCTCTCACATGGTATGGATGTGGCAGGTGTTGCCAAGTACATGCGTGCAAGGTAGGCCATCTCACTGTGTGCCCCTTCATGCTTGGACCACCATTTCTGGGGACAGTCCTCTATGTCAATAGTTGGCTCTGCCCTGTATCGCTCCACACATTTCTCAATATAGTCCTCCTCTTCATCAGATGAAGACTCTGAGGCAAACATGAGAGCTGATCTTTTCTTAGATGGCTCATATGTTGCTGGTTGTTCAGGCTGTGCAGGCCTCTGCCTCTCCCTGAGCAACGCACTGATCAAGCGCCACACCTCAGCCCTGTCAGCTCTGCTTAGACACTTAAGACCCTTAAACCTAGGATCCAGTGCTGTTGCAACCCTGAGCCACATGATGTTAGTTTTTTCCTTGTGCTTCTCCATTTCTGCTTTAAAGGTCTTCTTGAAGTTAACCATGTAAGCTGGGTCATACTCAGAGACCTCCATCACTCGCGACAGGTGACACAAAGCTGGCAACACCACTGAGCAGGAAACAAACTTCTCCCCTCCCAAAAGTTCAGTTATATACCTGCAGTAATAGAGAAACATACGTCATTAAGAATTTGTTACATTCAATCACAAAAGGTCAAAATACATTATACACACACTCTATGTCAGAAGTGGTAAGAGTAAGTATTAATAAATTACCTGCAGTGTTCAAGGACCGTCTCCAGCTTCTTCAGTTTCTCCACTTCAGCTGTTGTTGGCATTGTGACATTAGTTGGATGTAGTGCCAGTGCATCTCTCAGTGGTTCTTGATTTCTCAGAACATGCTTGATCATCTCCAGGGTACTGTTCCATTTTGTTGATACGTCCTGTGTAAGTGACTCCTTTTTATGAAAATGTGCAATTTGCTGTTGTTCGAGCTCCAGTGCGTTCGGTGGGCTATGGTTGAAATGGCCTATGACCTTTCTGCATTTTGCCAATGCGCTGTTAAATGGACTGTTCTGTAGAGAAACTGTGATGGCTCGATGGAGGCTGTGTGCGATGCAAGGCATATGCTCTACAGGTAGCTGACTGGCCGCTGCAACCATGTTGCATGCACCGTCAGTGGTCAGCGTGCTGACTTTATGTTCAATCCCCCACTGTCTAGCTACCTGCAGAAACTGCTCGGCGCACGTGTCGGCGAAGTGCTGCTCCTCTGTCTCCATAACAGTCAGAACATGCGACTTTAGTTCCCACTGTGGTGAAAAATAATGTGCTGTTATTCCAAGGTAACTGTGATTACTTCGAAAAGTCCAATAGTCTCCGGTGAGTGCAACCGTATTGGTCTGCCCCAAAGTCTCCTGGACTTTGGCTTTCTCATCTTCATATAAGTTGTGGATCTTGGCTACAGTGGTGGCTCTCGAAGGCAATTCATACGTGCAGTCGTTGGACGCTATGCGAATTATTTCAAGTAGCCCCTCATCCTCCACAATGTCAATCGGCCTCCAAGCTGTAGCCACCCATTTTGCTATGGCTGTTGAAAGTTTGTTGGTTGTAGAATTGTCCATACGTCTCCTTTGAAAGCTATCCAGCATGGTCTGCATCTGGCGAGGGAGATTCTCTGCTTCAGCTGTGTGCTTGGCTAGCAAATGGTATTTGAGACTGGACGTGCTACGGTGATAGCGCAGTTCACATCGACAGTAAATACAAACTACTTTGGTCTTGTCAAGAGATCCATCTGGCATTGCTTTAAAATTGAACTTGCCGTTCAAAATACGCCCTTTTTTGTCCATTTCTGCTCACTAGCGATGGCTCGCTTGAAGCTGAAGCTCCGGTGAGTCCACAACACGCTGGTTCTCGACGCTTGATTCGTTTGGTCAGAGTCACGTGATCAGTGACGTCCGAAGCTTCGTAACTGATACGATTCGCGAGATTTGTGGAGTGTTTTGGTTGTGAGAGATAGCAAACCACTGATCGTTTTATTAAGAGATATCGAGCCAGCGTGGAAGAGAGGCTCTGTCGTGTGGGAGTATTTTGAATTGATTTTGGTCAATCGGGTGGCTTTGTCAGCTTTCTGTTCTTGTTTTTCGCTTATGTTTTCTGTTCAAATGTTAACAAAACAAAAATCTGCTTTTCATAATATAAATATCGTTAAATAACTTTAGAAAGACTTCCATTTGACTCTTTAAATTTAAAATAATCTAATAAAATAATCTTAAAATGTTATTCTACAAAATGTGCAGCAATTTAATTTGTTTATTCTTCAGGTGATAGTCTGTGGGACCCAGGAAGACCGTATAACTGAATCTAACCAACATGCATTGCAGTTTCTGTGCACTCCAGCCTCTTCTGTTCCATGTGAGAGGAATTTCTTTTGGGCAAGACAAAAAAGAAACAGACTCGGTCATCACACAGTGAAACAAATTCTCTTGTTAAATAATAATGAAAAAACGCTACATTAAAGGCATCACGTTTTTGCTTTACAAGTTCATAAGCATTTTCCTTTTCCTGTTCACAATCAATTCTACCCCCCCCCCTCCCCCACAGGTCATAAATAAGTATACGATAATTGGCCTAATATCATATTATTTATAAGCATACCTGTCCAGCTGTCCAGTGATTAATTGCACAAGTACATGGAGAGAGGAACTCACAGCACAAACATACTCCATAATGTGTTGCACATTATTACAATTATTTTTCATCTTTTGTATTTACCAACATCAAGATGTCACCAGCAAATACCACCATGGCGCATGTTTAAACAAGGAAGGTTTATTGATCAAAACTATTCATTTAACGAATAAACATAACTTCTTTTTTCAACCCCCCAAAAATACATGTTCAAAGCAACACAATGGTGGCCTAATATCAGACTGAATTGTGAACTCCACTCTGTGGAGTCGGCAGTCATAATGAAGCAGTTCGTTTTATTTTGTAGATTCAAGCTGCTTGTTATATTTTTGGCCACCAGATGTCACCAGAGTAAGTAAGTAAGTAAAATTTTATTTATATAACACATTTCTAGATAAAAAGATCACAAAGTGCTTCACAAAGTATAAAACAAAAACAGACAAAAGTGAACAAAATGCAATTCTACAAAGATGTGTTTTTAGTTGTTTTTTAAAAGTGATCACTGAGTCCGCAGATCTTAAGTTCTGAGGAGTGGACTGTATTGAAAAGCCTCGAATAATAAACCCTTTTAAACAAGCTTCAATGCTTCAGAAAGCTTAATTTGGCAATCACTACTACAAAACAGTCACAGCAATATTTTAAAAAAAAATTCCCATCTCGCCCCTGTGGGCGGTCTGTCCTTTCAAGCTTGGGTCCTCAGAGGCCCGGGGGGTTGAGGGTCCTGCGCAGTATCTTCTCGTTGTTCCTAAGACTGCGCTCTTCTGGACAGAGATCTCCAATGTTGTTTCTGGGATCTGCTGAAGCCACTGGGACCACTGTTACCTTCACCCTCCACATTTTCTTGAGCTCTTCTCTGAGCCGTTGGTATTTCTCGAGCTTCTCGTGTTCCTTCTTCCTGATGTTGCTGTCAATCGAAACCGCTACATCTATCACTACGACTGTCTTCTTCTGTTTGTCTACCACCACTATGTTCAGTTGGTTAGCCATCACCATGGCAGGGTTCCCTGGCCACTGAGAGTACACCTTGGCTCGTTCTGTAGAGAACAGCTAGTTTCTTCTCGTGCCTTCAATCTCTCTGGTGTACCTCTTCGAGTGGCTGGCCAAGGCTGTGAGTCTTTGCTTGGCAGTTTGCAAGGCCTCAGGTACAGAACCAACTTACCTGGATGATCGAGCGTGCATTTAGAAACTATTGATTTACGTTAATAAGCGAGTGCACACATTTCTGTCCTCTTATCACTTAGATTTCTGAATCTTAAGAGTGAATCAATTTACAGAAGGAACCGCACACCTAGTCATCAAATGTTTGGTAAAGCAGCACGAGTACTGTAAAATTTAGTAGGTTCCTGTTAAAAATCACACAAGCATCACACCACATCTGGCATATATACTTCTATTTTATACAGTACACAGTTGAAATTATAAACTATATATTCCAGTCATCCACTTATCAGCAATTCTTGAGTAAATGGATGTCACTGATAAATCAGTGGTGATTCACCTGCAAGTGTTTTTAACAAACTGTTTCTTGTTTTTGTAGAACTCATCAGCAGCTGTATTTAAATGTCTTGTTCAATTTTCCCAACCTGGAAGCCAAGCTTCTGAGTCTTATCCCATGTAGGTGGCTCTTCTATGTTGTGCCGCTTCTTTCCAAGATCCAAGCTTTTTCACTTGTGTTTTCTTTGTCTAATATTTTAATTTGTTTAATGATTTGAAACACATTTTCACACCACTGTAAGTACACAGAAGTTCAGTTCAAAAACTATGAACACAATCCAATATCCACAAAACAAATATGTAAGACTGCTTTCTTCCATTTGCGCAACATCTCTAAAATTAGAAATATCCTGTCTCAGATTGATGCTGAAAAACTAATGATAGGGACTAGAAAGAGAGAGCAGATTTCTCCTGTTTTGGCTTCCCTTCATTGGCTTCCTGTTAAATCCAGAATTGAATTCAAAATCCTGCTCCTCACATACAAGGTCTTAAATAATCAGGCCCCATCTTATCTTAGAGCCTTCAGTTTTCAGGCCCCTCTTCTATTGAACCAGCTTCCAGTTTGGATTCGGGAGACAGACACTATCTCTACTTTTAAGATTAGGCTTAAAACTTTCCTTTTTGCTAAAGCATATAGTTAGGGCTGGAGGTGACCCTGAATCCTCCCTTAGTTATGCTGCAATAGACGTAGGCTGCCGGGGATTCCCATGATGCATTGAGTTTTTCCTTTCCAGTCACCCTTCTCACTCACTATGTATTAATAGACCTCTCTGCATCGAATCATATCTGTTATTAATCTCTGTCTCTCTTCCACAGCATGTCTTTATCCTCTCTTCCTTCTCTCTAACTACAAAACAACCCCAAGAGATGCGGTTAAATCCCCTCTCCAAGTCCAAAACACCCAATATATATCGACCAGTTGGCCTTACTTGGACAACCATTCTTCCATAGCATTAACAACAGACAAAAATGAATGGCCTGTATTTGTATAGCGCTTTTACTTAGTGCTGATGGACCCAAAAGCACACTACATTCAATCATCCACCCATTCACACACACGTTCACACACTGAATTAAATTAAGATTTAAATTGTTTAAACTGCTACTTTCAGCTGCAGAAACTATTAGAAATTTTAGTTATTGTGGACTTTCTAGTGAAAAATACCATCAGGCAACACGGTCAACAAAGATCACCTATGGCCACTGAATTGTTGAGTGCAATATTAAATGTTGAGATTTCTCCTCTCAACAAGTTTCTTCACACACTGACCAAAATGTCTTGCTGTCAAATGCAATTGCAAACAAGGTATTTCTTCAGCAACAAACTCTGAACTCTTCACTATCTGGATAATGTTGCCTTCAGTGGTATTTGGAAAAGGATAACCAAAGTTAATTATACTCTGGGTTTGACTAACAAAGTGTATTCCTGGAGTATTTTATTTATTCAACTAAAAAATGTTTACGATAAAATTGTAAGTTAAACTCAGTAATATCCTGCTGTGGCTTCTTCTGAAGATTTTCTTCTACACGAGTTGGACAAGCCGGCTGAAGATTGTCTAGGCTTCCCTCACTGCTTTATCAATATAGACACTGATGGCCTTCACATGCTGCTGAAGCATTTCTATATCTTGCTGTGTGTCCTGGTTTCACTGTTGGATGTTGAGTCATGTTGGCCTGAGCTCTCTCTGCCTCTCAGTCCTTTCTGCTACAGCTGACACTGTGTCGTGGCCTCTGTGTTCCTCCATACCACAGAGGTTAACTGATATACTGCTGATCGCTGGTTCTGAAAAGTCCTAATTTCATACCGAACCTGGAGGTGGCTCTCACAGTAAGAGGCCACACACTGCAGACAGGAATTGGAGACTTTCAGGGCTCTCCCAGTGCACACACCACAGGCCACATCTTTAAGTCCAACATAGTCTTGTGGATGAGGAGCAGTTTAGAGTGCTAGTCTTCTTCAGCTAATTAGGTGTTTGCAGAACTAGCTTTGGTATGAAACCCTTTCTGCACTGATAACAGCTGGAAACTCTTCTTAATCTCCTCCTCTTCCCAGTAGTTCTTGATACAGCTTATTCAGTAGTTGTGTCCACAGATAAGAGTTGTTGGATACTTGAGTAAATCCAGACAGATTAAAAAGCACAACTGAAGCCCTCATTCAGACATTTTCATTTCCTTACAGTAGATCAAATCTGAGCTTTGATCAGCTTAAGCCTGTGTTTCCTGTGTTTAGATCTGCAGCAAATAGGACTCATCACTTTTTCCTTGTTTCCCTCATTTTGTCAGAGCTGTCTGACAAAATGAGGGAAAATGTGGACAGAGATAATTCACTGTGTTAGAGAGGAGGCAGCAGGTTTCCCTTCATTCCAGGAAGAGGAGTGGCTTCTCTCTGGCAATGAACAGCAGTTCAACATGCATTGTATGCTTGACAACAGGAACAGAAAAATCTGTGCTGCAAAATATATTTGTTGTGGATTTGGCTCTGAATGTAGACTTGGTATCCCAAAAAATTCCAGCGTGACACAAAGCGTAATAGTTAGTGTTATGTGTAGAATTATCTGCTAATTTGGGTAAAAAGCTTAAAGAACATAGCATTAGCCCTTCTGCTCCAGTTAGCATTAGCCGCTAACATGGCAAGCTGGAGCAGCTAACACTGCTAATGCTGAAAAAAAAAACACTGTCCCACTATAACTTACGCCCTGAAAACACTTAAAATAAAGCCTACCGTGAAATGTGTAGTTCTTTTTGCTAGCCAACATATGCTGGTCTACTAATCATTGAGAACAGTACAGCTAGCACAGTGTAGGTAAGAGCATATGAGACAGAAGAAATTCAATAAAATCTATTAGAATGTAAACTTGCTCAGCTCAGTTCCCATATCCTGTAAAAACCCATGCATATCAGAGGGTATGATTTTACAGTGGCTCTGTTATTTACCCTGTAAACATTAAAACAAAAAAACAAACTAAAAAAAACAACTTTTTTTGACTCTGTGCTCACAAGCATTCAGAATGCTGCACATATTCCTACCATATGTTTTGAATACAGACAAAATGCAAAGATTCCTACAAATTTTTACTCATATTTCAGACTTTATTACCTGATGTTAACAGTGGACTCAGTCAAACAGAGAGTGAAACCATCATGAAACCTTTTTCTTGTTTCTAGTAGAACGCTGTCTAGATGAACGTTGTTGTTTAGTGTTAGTATGTGCAGATTTAACGTCACATTCTGTCTCAATCCTGCAGAAAAAGGAGCAGCAGAGAAGGGCTCCTCCCAGGTATAGCAGTCCTGCGGACACCAAGCCGATGAAGAGTGAAGCTCCCAGATCCCTCCTTTGATCGCTGGGCAGGTCAGGGTTGAACATATCATTAACAATGGTGTGTGTGGTCCAGTGGACAGGCAGGGCCACCAAGCTAGCTGCAATGAGAAACAACACTCCAGAAGCTATATCTGCTTTGGTCTTTCGCCTTGCGTCTGGTATAAAGTTGGTGCACTTGGCCCCAACTACACCAAGCACAATCCCAAAGAACTGGATGATGATAGCAAAAACGATGAGCACTCTGGCATCCTGCAGGTCTTGAGGTAAGGTGAGCGTAGAATCATACTCTTTGCACTCCATCTCATGTTTAGTCAGCAGAATGCAGTTCACCCACAAACCCTCAAAGATCACATAAGTAGTGGCAATGTCAGCACTAATGAAGTCTGAGACTTTCCACAATGGGAGGAAACAGATAACTATTGTCCCTAGAACACCAATGATGGCTGAGACCAAACCCAGAATCTGTCTGCAGCTAACTGCCATGATGAAGCTCTGTTGATCTCTTCAAGGAGAAAAGTTAGTAAGAGAGTTTTGGAAGAGAAGAGTTCAGCAGGTATTAGTTTTTATTGTCCACACAGAGGAGAAGTCGACTCTGGTTTTCTTTCCTACTGATTAGAGAGTGCTAAAGGAGGTGACAGAGGAGGAGTTTTCTAGCATGAGAAGAAACAGGTTTGTAAAGAAATCTCACCCAACCAGCTTGTTTCAAAGCACCTGTGATACGGACAGTTGAGTTTCACACGTGAATACAAAGGTCGATATCACAAAATCAGAAAAATGCAGACATGCAAAATGGTAATTATGAACAATCGGGGTTCAAATACTGGTGGAGGCATACAAGGCACACATCCAGTAGGGGTCACCAAGGTAGGCTACATTAGCTTAGCTTACCTTAAATGTAAACAGGAGGGACTCTGTTAAATAGTGAATTTATATATATATAAAAATGACAGTGATGACTAAAAGTAACTACCCAACTCTGTACTAAGTCACAAAGCTACTAAATTAGCTGAAAATGTTGCGAGTTAAAATTGTTAAAAAACCCCATTGTTATATATTATCTGAGCGATATTTATGTTAATAGGCTAACATGTAACAATCTGCCAATCTGTTTTAATCGGATTCTTTTGTAAAGCTGAAATATAAACTGTCACATATTATAAATGTACTCATATTTACTTGCGCTGTCTTGTTTCATCAAACATAAGCTTTGCGTTCATTTTTAATGATAAGGTTGATCCATGAAAATGCATTTTGACATAACTTTGATCAAAATAACTCACCTTTGTTTTGTCTGCTTAACACAACTGGTGTCTTGAAAAAACTGAGACAAGTCTGTGAGCTGATAATAACTTTAACTTAGTATGTGACGTTCTTTAACAAATGTTGTGTAAATATTTGGTAGGAATATGGGGTTTTTCCTTACACTCTCATTCTTTAATGCAAAAATCTACCAAACAAAATAAAATAAAAAAATACATTTTTAGCCGGTTTGGCAGCAAGGATCTACCACAAAACCTGTAAAGATTCTTTCACAAACACTCCCAAAACCAGATTTAGTGTTAGAATTTCTTTATCGTTTGACATTATTGTAATTATTCTTGCTAACATAATATTGTTATATACTCATAAATGCCAGTCTTAAATTATATTGGCATATAATCGTACACAGAAAAAAACATTGATCAATATCAAATAAAAGGAAAAGTAAGTTCAAACAACAAATTTAAATCAATTACTTGTTTTGTGCATTACTAGTATGCCTTCACACATTCAAAATCCTGGGTGTTTGTTCCTACAGTTTGTTTTGAAGCCAAAAAATTTACAGTCAGTTAAGCAGTCATAATTTTTTACTTAACTTAATAACAGACTAATTCAATGGCAAAGAGAAAGTGAAACCTTTATCTTGCTTCCACAGACTCAGCCCTGGAGTATCCAACCACATATTCAGTCTCATTCCTGGTGGAAAAGGAGCAGCAGAGAAGGCCTCCTCCCAGACACAGCAGTCCTGCAGTGGCCCAGCCGATGTAGAGCACGGCTCCCGGCTCCACTCTATGAACGTCGTCCAGGAAAAGAATGTTGGAATTCATACTATTGGTGAGGTTGATCCAACATGAGCTCACTGGTAGGGCCACCAAGATACCGGCAATAAAAAACAAGACTCCGGAAGCTATAACCACTTTGGTCTTTTGCCATTTGTTTGGCACAAAGTTGATGCATTTGCTCCCAACCACGCTAAGCAGAATCCCACAGAACTCGATGATGATAGCAAAAACGATGAGCACTCTGGCACCCTGCAGGTCTTTAGATAAGTCCTGTATAGAATTGTAGGATTTGCACTGCATCTTGCCTGTACTCCTCATCACACACGTCACCCACAGACCCACAAAGTCGATCTGAGAAGTGGTGATGCTTGAACCAACGAAGGCTGAGACTTTCCACAACGGCAGTGCGCAGATGAAGATCGTCCCTAAAAAGCCAATGATGGATAAGAGCAAACCCAGAACATGTCTACAACAGGCCGACATGAGGAAGCTGTGTCGATCTCTTCAAGGAGGAAAGGAGGGTGCTCCTAAGAGTTGCAGTAATTTGTCTGTCAAAGACGATTTCAGCAGGTAGTTGTTTTTGTTGCACATTCTCCTCCTCTCCATGACAGAGGAGGAGTTTTCTAGCATGAGCTGAAACAGGTTTGTGAAGAAATATCACTAAACCACCCATGAAATGTAGAGCTGAGTACAGAAACAAAGACTTGACAAAATGAATGCATTTTGAATAAACAATTCAAATAAAAACATACCATTTTATAGGGTGTAAAAAATTAAGTGTGAAAACAGAGACTGAGTGATAACTACTGGAATAGTCCAGCTGTGAAAGCAGTCATTGTGAAATAACTCTATTTATTCAGAATTTTGGGATTAAATACAATTTGAGTCCCTACATAAGTTGTTTCAGTTTAAATTATCAGCATCGCTGCAATGTGTGAGATTCATTCGCAGCACTTGCTAACATATAGTTCCCAGCCAGAACACATAACTTTCAGAGTGACCTGATACTCTTGGATTAATGACTTGCAGAAGTTTGAATATATAGAAGTGATAAATTGTCTTGCACTTTTTTTAACCTGAGTATCAGTGAACGACCAAGAATTCTTGGCACATGTAGGGTCTGGCAGGCAAACCCTACAATTAGTTAAAAAAACAAAAAACAAAAAAACAAACCAAACCCTACACAGCAAAATAAACCTGCATCTTTAGATCTGGTCAGTATTCTGTTCATTGTGTGTAGCGCAGATATTTACTGAAAATAAATCTGAAAGTGACCCTGATTCAGGCTCTCATATGATTAAAAAACAACAACATAAAAAGCAACTAAACAGCAAACCGTATTTATTTGATATAAACTGGTCATATTGAAAATATTGATACGGTATGATATTTTGAAGCTTTTGATCAAGACTCCATATATATTCAGCCACAAGTTGATTCTAAATTTGAAATAAAGCATGCACAAAACAGAGAAAAAAAAAACCCCAGATATAAAACAGTACAAAGGGTATAAATGTAAACCAGACTTATTTGAGACTGTACTGTGTAAATGTCACATCAAAATGAGAAACCTCAACATGATATTTATCACATCCATATTATTTGAGCTCTTTAACATCGGAGCACATTCTCTTAGATTCTTCAAATTTAACCGGACACAACATTGTAAAGTCGTTATTACTTGCATTTCAAAAGCACAGAACCATCATACATGCATTATTATTATTATTAATATTATTTATAGTACATGATGCATCAGTTGTTTAAGAAAACCTTATGTGAAAGAGTAAATTGAAAAAAAAAGTCTTATTTTTTTTAAACAAGTGTCCTGACTTATTAAAAATAACGACTGCTTTTACTGCTCGAACTGTTCTCACTTTATCTTCTGTCTGCAGTTAACCTTCTGTGCACTCAGTTAATATCCATGGGCTCTGGCTGCTCTCTCCGAGAGAAGAATTCAAAGAAAGCCTTCAAACTCTCGTCATCTACAGCCACTGAACTGTTCACTACATTTTTAAACCTTGTGAGATTTCTGCTCTCAACGAGCTTTTTCACATCAACCAAAAAGTTTTGCTGTCGAGCACATTTGCAACTGAGGTATTCTTTCAACACATCAAACTTTTCTCTCTCCACCATTTGAATAATGATGTGCTCAATGATGTCAGAAAAGGGATACCCAAACTCTATGACACTCTGGTTTTGACCCATCACACCAGGGTAGGCATACCCTCCTGAATGCATTGCAACAACATCGCCGTCCTCATTAAAGACAGGAGAGCCAGACGACCCAAAATACAAACAAGACTCGTAAGTCAGAAGGTGTTTGCGCTGTTTAAGATCAACTGCCACTTTTTCAAAGAACCTGCAAGTAACGAACTGGACAGGCTCTTTATTGTTACTGTAATGCCTTTCCACAACCCGATTCCGGTTCTCAGATGAAACAACCAAACAAGATTCGATCTTTTTCGTTCCACCATCTGGATGTCCAACAATGCTAATTCCACCACTGTGACGAATGAATCCACAGTGTGTTAGGAGACCACGAGGCAATATCTGGACATCACTGAGCTTTAACAAAGCCCAGTCAGTCCCTGACACATCAGGTGAGTAATCATAACCAGAAACCTCTTCCACATCTATCAGGCCATCGTTCTGCTCCAGACTTTCATAAGAGAAAGTGACAGTGACCCGCTCATTAAGCCGGCCGTTATCATTACAGAAATCTTTAATAACATGGGCATTTGTGAGGACAAATCTGCTGAACACGAGGAAACCGCTTCCTTGTGGTTTTCCATTTATTCTTACTTGACAAACAGAATGACTGAGTTCCATGAGTTTCCTCATTGTTTTTACTTCTCGGCACGACTGAGCATTGCTCCCAAACTCCAGACGCAAAAGATTCTGGGTGAAATTAAGATCATGAGATTGTTTTTTGCTGCTTTTGATTGAGTCTTTAAATTCTGAAGACAAACAATTTTGCATCTGTTTTAAATAAATATTTCCACACAGATTTGGTTTCTTTTCTGCTACATTGTCGGTCTCTGATTTGACTGTGTTAGTCTGCTGTGAAAGCTCCTCATACCCACCAGAATGACCTGCCAGAGATTCACTCTGCAGCACGTAAGCGTCATCAAGACTGCCAGGCTGACTTTCTGGTGGATCAGACTTGTCGAGCAATTTGATCTGAAAAGTTGCATCATCAAGGTCGTCAACCAGATTGCACATCTCTGTGTTCACTTCAGTGCACATGTTAAAGAGCACGCAATTCTTTTTGAACATGGTATTGAGAAAACGACCATCTCTTCGTAGAGCTTGCTTCACTTTTTCCCCTTCGTATGCGTAAACTGTAATTTCCTGCATGTCTTTTCTTAGGTTAGGATTTTTCAGGATTCTGACAACATTTTTACCTCCTCGTGCTATGACATGAAATATCACAAGCTTGTTAGATTGTCTCTTTTTGCAGGGATAACCAGAGCTGCTAACTGGTTTCTTTGGCTTCTCCACAGCTTTCACAAACTTCAGAGTCAGACGTTCATTTTTAATTACTCTGCATGGAAAGTGTGAAGCGATTGCTTT